CTCGGTACAAAGCACAGTGACAGACATGTGGCAGAACATCCCCTTCCTAACTGACCAAATGATGGAGCCTCACTCTAGCTGTGACTTGTTTTTCCTAAACAGGGATCTCAAACCTTTAGTCACTATTGTTCCTCTCTTGAATGTCACTGTCATTTCCAGCGCATCCCATCTGAAACCAGAGGTTGCATACACACACTCTTGTTGCGGCTCTTTCCCTTCTGTTGTTGGCACTGGAGAGCTGTTCCAAGCCAGCCCGTCCACTGAAAGGTGAGGGGACAGGGTCAGCAGTTCCTGGAACATGGCTAGGCTTTATTGGTCCTCATATAAAATGAAGGAATTTAATGTAGAGGCATCTTGAGTCCTTCCCTTCTGCAAAGTCTGTATCTCTTAATAGTGTCGTACCCACTTGTTTCATAAGTGGGGAAATACTGTCTAAAAAGATTAAGTAACCCCTTATCGATGAAATACTACAGTTAGACAGATTAAATGTGGCAAACCCCAGCAATGAGGATGTAATGTTGAAAACAGCCCCAGAAGATAGGAGATTAAATTTAGAGAAATGATGTTGTGAGTGGCAGGCTGGCTTCTCATGAGAATTTTTCGGTGCTAAAAGGGGGGCAGGGGAATCGATCTCTGCCCAGAACTCTACACATCGCCAGCAAACAACGTGCTTTGATAATGAAAGTAAAATAAAGGTTTCAGACATAAAATTCTTAATAATTCTTTTCATACAAAAGAAAACAGAACATTTCAACAGCAAAAAGGAAGTGAAATAAAAGTTAAAGATATAATATTAATTGGGGAAATAAGACTAGATAGAGACACAGAATTTCACGATGGAATTAAGACTATAGGAGGTGGCAAGTACTGTGCTTATCTAGAATGTGCCACCCAGAATTCCCTTCAGGGACAGCCCCTTGCCCCAGCCAAGAGCGCTGCCAGCAGACAGCCCTCAGTTTTCTGGGACTTCAGAGGGTGGTTTGCCTTCCTTGCTCAAAATCAAGCCCTCCCAAGGTCAGCCCACCCAACAAATGATTGGGGGCGGTGCGTAAAAGGCATTCTGATCAGTGTGTTATCTCTCGAAGGACAGCTAGCTCAGTAGTACCACCACCCCTGCCTGCTGTGTCTGGGGAGAGAGATGGCTGAGATGGAGGAATGTTCTATACACCTAACCGCATCTAAGTCTGACTCCAGGAAAACCTGCCACATCATCAACAGTTTGGAGCCTCAGAGATGCTTAAAGAAAATTTCTTCTCTATAAGCAGAACTCCCAGGTGTACCTCAACGCTGCAGCTTCTTTATGGTACTTTCCTTAAACACAAATAAGATTGTGTTCTCAGAATGGAAGTTTCCAGACATGTAAGGCATATACATTCTAGGTATGAAAACCTTAAAATTCTTTGTTTAGTGTTAATGCATAAATGATGTCAGGTCTTGGGGGAAAATGAGTAGATTATAATCAACTCTCATAAAAATTACATATGTCTGCGATGTTTATCATTTCTTCAAGTGATGAATGGTGATTACTTCTTAGGAAATATTAGTGTCACACAATCAAAACCCACATAACACCCACTGTCCTGCTCCCTAGACCCAGTCAGGAGCTAGAAAATGGGAGTCGGGGACAACATGAAAGAAGAGGCAAAACCTCATTGTCACGCATCGCTTTTTAATGACTGCATAGACCAATTCTTCAGACGCAATATAAAACCAAATGACCGCTGGATCGTTTTGTTCAGGAGCTCATCAGCCGAAATTCCCATGGTCTTACTCATAAGCAGTTTACCTACAGTGAGCACCTTCATTTATCCCCATCTTGTTCTAGCCATTCTGAGCTGGCCAGCCTCCCTGTAGCTAAAGTCTGTCTCAACCTATTTCTCAATCTCAGAGCATTTCTTTTCTCCTAGCTAAGGCTAAGCACATATTCTGTTGTGATATTGTCTTCTTTCCCATCTCTTATGAGACCTTGCTCTCTGTTATAGAGGAAAAGAAATTGTTATTGCTCCTCAGACCTGAATGCAAGCATTTCTGGTGTTTCCTCTGTCATTCGACTCTCTGTATTGACTTTGAAGAAACACCTGCTCTGAGCGTGCTTCAAAAATGCTGGGTTTCCCTATACTCCCCAGTATGGAGAGGAATGCCCAGCATCATGACCTTCCTCTACTATTCTCTTCTCAGGCGCCAATATAATAGCATGGAACTCCTATTGTAGGAACCCCTGCTAAGAAACCCCCTCTTTCTGCTTCAAAGGGAAGACTTTACTAAGTGCCATTGCCAAACAACAGGATAACTGTCACATTATCCTCCAAAACTACTGCCTTAGAATATTGTTTCTTTTTACAAGCTAATAGATGACCTCACTGTTAACTGTACAATATCCAGATAACCAATTTTCCATTAAATGCCCTTGAAATGCAGTCTTATTTTTTATTATTGTATGATACGCTGTTCCTGCAAGTTAGAGACCATCGTCTCACAGATCCTCCTGGCCTTTGTTCCTGTTACACATCCTTCCTCCCAATTTCCCTCTCTGACTTACCCTATCTATCCAAAGCTCAGCCAAGGCCAAACTCAAGACCAGATCCTCTGTAACGCTGTCAACACCCTATGGTTTTACCGTTCCCCGTTTTTACTTTAATTTTTTCTGATTTTAAATGTTCCTTGAAGATTTAATTTTATTTCTGTCTCCCTCATTTAGATTGCTGGAAATGTTTAGTTGGCATTCTTTCACACTTTACACATGCACGGTGGGGGGGGGATAGAAAGAGGGAGGGAGAGAGAGCGAGAAAGAGGGAGGGAGGAGAGAGAGGGAGAGAGAGAGAGCACTCTTAGAATTTTTATTTACCAGAATATTGAGCATGAAGTTCCAGAGAGAAACACACCTGTATATTAAGCTAATAGACAAATTTACAGCAGACACAAAGTAAAAAAAAAAAAAAAAAGGAAGATAGGACTGAAGTTAGCAAGGACAATTCTCTGCTTTTCTGATGTTGCTTTTAATCTTTTTAGAACTGAGAGCAGGTTGTATCCTCCTGCCCCCTAGTGGAAGATGAGAAAAAGGAGTAAAAATTATGAAAAGAAAAAAAAAAAAAACCACTGGCGAGTTGGTTCCTTTCTTCTTTTTTTTTTCTTTTTTCTCTCTCTCTCTCTTTTTTTTTAACTTACATTAGTAAAACCAGTAACTTTAATAGACGGTGTAATGATTTCGGTCAGAACATGAAACTATAATTCGAACATAGGGAAACTCAGAAGACAGTGGGGCAAAAGTAAGTAGACAGAAATGGTATGGTCCATGAAAGTGGAGGACAAGCAGCCACATATGAGATGGGGAGTTTAGCTTCTTCTTAACTTCTGCTTTGACTATTTCATTAGATAAATACCACTTGGTTTACAGTTTACAGTAAACAGGCAAAACAAAAGCATCCTGTCCTCTACCCTGCCGCCCTTCCTTTACTCCTGTCTGCAACACCAGTAACAAGCCATAAAGTTGTGGCCCTGGCTGGCTTTCAGCTCCCCATCCTAAATGGTTTCTCCGTGAACTTAGCGTGCAGATCGTGTGTATAAAGTTTTTTGCTTATTTGTGTTCTAAACACTCGATGACTTTATGATGCCAGCAAGGACTTCAAAGATTTGATGAATGCAGAGTCTCCAACTTGTGTTCAGACTCAGCTTTAAAAATTGACCTTTACGCCTTTAAAGTTCAAATTATCTGTTAGCATTTCCATTTTGTTGCTTTTCTGTCTGCTTCGCTAAGTTAATGTGCAACAGGACACAAACAGCTCCTTGTCTGCCCGACTTTCCCTGTCAAACTCATCCTGCACGGTTTTCAGGAGCTCTCTAGAGAAGCTCAGCTACTGAAAGATGAAGATCTTTCTTTTCCCATTTACCTTCTAGCCCAATATTAGCTTAGCACTGTCTAGCAGTGCTACAGAGGGTGGTTGTGGGCAGTGAAAAGCCTACGGGCAAACGGCTCACTCAAGTGTTTCATAATGTCCTTTTTAGAACCACGGACAAACCATTTCGCCTCTCTAAGCTTCGAGCTCTAGCTTTGTAAGTTGGAGCTGTCTTCCATGCCTACCTCACTGGGTTGCTACGCACATCAAAGAGAAAAGACATGTAAAAAATCTCAGCAGAGAGGTGCGGTGGTAGAACAGAGCTATTTTACGTGTGCTCACAAACAAGGTTATCATGAGATACTCTTTTTCTGGGAGATGACAGAAACGATTTTAAAGGAATTCTGATGAGAGAAAAAAAATACCATTTCTCCTTTAAATCGCTGAACTATAAAATTTAGAACTAAGTGCGTTGTTCCTTTGCAGCTTCTCCATCCACTAAAAGTGAAACACGAAAATGCCCTCCCACACTAACTCCTACCTACCTTCTATAGTGAAACCAGGACACCCCCACAGTAGCCCCAAATTCTGTTCACCTCCTACAAGAATGCAGACACCGAGGAGTGCACCTTCTGATTCAGAAAGTGTCTCCCTTAGCCCACACATCTTCAAGATAAATACAGACATACATCACTGATATGCCAGCGTAATTCTATGCATAAACCCCACAGTCACAGAAAGTAATAGAAAAAAAAAAAACAAGTATTCCCGACTTACACTGTTGGCAAGAAAGACCTAGGCGAGATATGGAAGATGACAGTCATTTTAATTTTTCTCCAAGAGGAAGAAAATACAGAGAACCCATGTCACTTCGCTTGCTATGAGTATGTGTTTAATTTATTCTTCCTTGTCCTCAAAGGGGTGGGGAGATGAGGACATGACAGTGGAGGAAATTATAGTCATGCATATATTGTAGGACACAAAGCAAAATAAATATGGCAAAGCAGAAAAGAGGAGTGATGAGATGCCTCACATCTAGAGGACCCCCACCCCCATCTCTACAACAGCAATTGGTTTGCACTGCCTGGCAAAAAGGGCAAAGCTCAAAAGCAGCGCACAGCAGGTCTCTCACCCCTAGTACTTCTCCCAAAGGAAGTTCAGACTCACCAGCCACAAAGACCCCCCATATCAAGAGTACCGCTAGGTCAGAAGTTCTCCAAAAGCAGAGCATTTCTGGTTTCTGGTGTCTGCTGCTCACTCGGTACTTTTTCTCCTCACAGGTAGGAGAGCAGTAGTGACCATGGCCAGGCTCCCTCTGCTCGCCCGTTGGCTTCTGTGTGGTAGCACCTCTTGACCATCAGCAGCGAGCTCTCCTTTCCTCCCTGCCCTTTCCTTGGACTCGACGTGTTGCAGTCTGATTAGTAAGCTGGAAGAGAAGAAACTTCTCTGGGACTTGACACAGCAGTAGATTTCCTGTGCAATGCTTTGCAGAGGAAGCAGAGTGAGTTATCTTCCAGCTCATTGGTCCTCCTCTCCTGCTGCTCACAGATAAACTGTACAATAAGGCTCTGAACATGCCTGAGACAGATGGATTTGTCCATTCAAAACAGGCATGGGATGTTGACCTATTTGGAGCCTACACTTGTAAATGTTCCGATCACAATTAACTTCAGGGAAATTCTCCAATAGGAAAAAAAAAAAGTGCACAGCCTTTTCCAGTCTTTTAATGTATAATATATATTTCTCTTTGGAAATGCTTGGGTGAAATTGCAATCTTGTCTGGAGGTCCAAACATAACACTGGAGCATCGAAAGCATGCCACTTTTCTGGTAATACTCTAGCAATCCCAAAATTGGTGGCTTAACACAACACAAATTCGGTGCCTAGGAGTCAGAGTCTAGATGGCTGTAAGGAGCTAAAACTCAAGGCATGGCCAGGGCTTCACTTCTGGGGACTCAGTCTTTCCCAGAACCTAGACGACATCTCTGCTCTCTGGCCTGTGGATACATCATGCTGGCCTTTGCTCTGCTGTCAAACCTGATGCCCTGACTGTGACCTGTCTGCCTCTCTTAGAAGGATCCTCTGTGATTGATTTGCTCAGGGAATCCATCACTGTCTCTCCGTGTGCAGACTCTTAGCTGAATTATGTCCACAGAGTCCATTTGTCAGATCAGTGGACATTCAGCCACGAGTCTCTGTTGGAGTTTTAACATTGAATCTCCCTGCTCCCTGACTTTGGGAGAGAAAGGTTAGTGTAAGCACAGATAATCATCTTTCATTTGTCACACATCTGAGATTCTGACTTTCCAGAAAAAATTCGGTGTAATGTTGCTAGTTAATGTGCGCTTAGATTACAGTTGAGAGGAAGAAAGACAAAAAAAAAAAAAATTCTGTGGCTGTGGTAAGAATTTCCTACCCCACGACAAAGTGCTCCAGGAAGGGGAAGAAAACAGTGCAAACAGGAAAAAAGATAAAACAACATGCATTTTTTTTTCAAAGTTAGCAGTTCCCTCTTCCCTCTTACCAAACATTAAACTATGTATATCCTCCCCTCCCCCCCTCAAGCTTTCTCAGTGAATCAATCTGATTCACATCATAAGATGAGATCCTTAAGAGCAAGGAAGGCTTGAAGGCTTGGGCTATGACAGTGAGGGAAGAGTAGCTGTCCTTCTGTTCAATGATTCATCAGATATCTGAAAAGAAAAATCGAAGAAATGTCATTTAAATCGTGATGTCATTTTTCCATCACACGAAGCTGTTAGTCCTGGAGGTTCTGACAACAGAACAGAAGTAGGTTTAAGTTCCCTGCCAGGCGGTGTCAGTGAGACCAGCTAATTTTAATTTCCTTAGTCATGACTGCATTTTTCCCATTTGGTATTGTAATAGCGTGAGCTGTTTTTAATGCCACCAAAAATTCATGATCAGGGCAGCAAAATGGCATAGTGGGTAAAGGTGTTGTCCGTTCTGATGTGGGATTTCCCTCTGTGTGCTGTGATTACCGTTAATGAATAAAGAAACTGCTTTGGGTCTATAGCAAGGCAGAACTTAGCAGGGAAAGCTAGGCTAAATGCTGGGAGAAAGAAGGGCGGAGTCAGACAGAAGTGATGGAGCCACCGGAGACAAACTAAAAACTTTAGCCAGTAAGCCACTGTCGCATCACAATACACAGATTAATAAAAAGGGGTTAAATTAAGATGTAAGAGTTAGCCAATAAGAAGTTAGAGCTAATGGGCCAATTAAACTGTATTTAATTAATACAGTTTCTGTGTGATTATTTCGGGTCTAAGCTACCCGGGGGAGGGGGGCGGGGGCAAAAACCAACTAGTGGCCTCTGTCTCTCCTCCTACACCTTACAAAACTGAAGACCTAATTACAATCCCCAGAAACTACATAAAAGGAGAGGGGGGAGGGAGAGAGAGAGAGAGAGAGAGAGCAGAACCAACTCCACAGTAATCCTTGTCCTTCATAAAAGCATCATGTCATGTAAACACACACACACACACACACACACACACATCCAAGAACGAGAGAGAGCATACATTGTTTCATTTTGCTTTTATTTAATTTTATTGTCTTTATCATTTATTTTTGAGATGCGATGGATTCAAACTTTCTGTGTATCTGAGAATGACCTTGAACCCCTGATCGTCCTGTCTTCACCACCCCACGACTGAGATTCTACTGTGACATGCGCTACCACACCTGGTGTGCTGGCGATGGAACCCTGGGCTTCTTGCATGCTAGGCAAGCATAGCATAAGCTGAGTCACATTCCCAGCCTCAAAAACAAATGAAAATGCTTGTCGTTTATTTTAATGCCTGCCCGATGCTAATATCAAAACCAAGCTCAAGAGACCTGGCAAAGTCTAAGGAGACCTGGTGGCTGAGCTGAACTGAGCATTGCTGCCTGTGAGGTCTTCAAACTAGGCCCCCACCCCCAGTCTGAGATTTCAGTTGTGACTTTCACAGGCTCGCTCCCTGGGTGCTCATCTGAGAACAAACCACAGTCTTTAACCAAGATGTGTAAGAGTCGAGTCAATGGTTGCCACAGCACACAACTCACAAAACAGAAGATAGAGTGGGTTTTTTCTCTCATCACCCCCTCACATCGTCTACCCTAAAGCCCCACACCCCAAATTTCTCAATGTCCACCTTCTTTTCTTAAGTACAAGCATTTGGATTGGAGGGGGGAGATGGTAGGAGGGGAAGGGAAATGGGAGGAGGGGAGGAGGTGAAAATTTTTAATTAAAAATAAAATTTTAAAAAACCAAGCATTTAAATTAAGGCACCAGGAGTTTATCATCACCCGCTGAAGATGTGCAGTGAGAACCACCATAATAAGAGAAGTGTGTGTGCATCTTGTAAAGGCTTCTCTCTGAAAAATCTCTGGCGCTAGTTTCTTCCTGCATGTGCTTTTCAGAAACAGAACAGAAAAATGAGAAAGCATCAAGAGGAAGAAACTGCTCAAGCATAAATGCAAAACCTCTAACTGTCTTCTTCTAGAAGATAGTTCTATTAAGAACCAGGGAATTTGAGGAAGAAAGAAAGCAAAACATAAAAATCAGAATGGTGTCATGTCGATTTAAAACAAAACAAAGCAGACGGGATGGTATAGATCCATGATGTGGTAGCCAAAAGCTTGGCTCAGCAGCCCTTAGTAAGTTAGAGCCGCTGTAAGCCATGACAACCACAAACTTGGACCTTTGGTTTGCTCAAAAATTACCTATCTGTCTACAAATGCCTTTCAAGTAAACATCTGCTCAGGAGTATTTCTCGCCCGCAAAGGGCTGGGGTGTAGCTCAGAGGCTGAGTGCTTGCCCAGCATGGTCAGTCCCCGACACTGAAAACAGTGATGCAGCCCATACACTGCACGCTTCTCCTTTCACATCCTATTGTGTTGTTGATATTTACCTTGAAAATTTTCACTTCTACTTACGCTATGTCATCAACAGAAAAACAACCTTCAGAAAATGGTATGTGTGTGTGTCGTGTAAGAGCTAACCATCTTGTTATAATTTTCCAACTAAATGTGTGTGTCATGTAAGAGCTAACCATTTTGCAATAATTTTACAAAGTGTACAGAAAAATTAGACCAGGACGTCTGAAAACGAAGTACATACACTATCAAACAAGTGAGCACCGTGTGCAGTGGTTAGTATATTCGCACGCTTTGTATACATAAAGAAACTGTAGTGATGTTTTATTTGTTGCAAAGAATCAATTCTAAATCTCACAGGTCATATCGATGGTAAAGAACACTTTCTAAGCCCTACACTTAACAACCTAAGTCAAGCCCTAAACACTTCACAAATATTATTCTGCTCAATTCTCTACACAACCGTATGCAGAATTCTCTACACAACCTTTATTATTCCCACCTTACATTGTTCCTTCTTAGCAAAAGGACTAGGTAGATTTTCCAAAGAGACACAGATGACTTGTGTGGAAGCAGGAATAAAACTCCAGAAAGCTTCCTTCATAGTTGGGTACTATTAGTTAGACTTTCATTTTCTAATCCATTTCTAATGGTCTATATTGTCTTCCATATATCTGCCAGGAAGTAGTCATCTGCTATTTTTTTCTCTTTCAGTTTCACACACTTCTTATTTCATTGCGTTTTTGTTGTTGTTGTTGTTGTTGTTGTGTGATTGTTTAATAAATAAACCATGAGCTGTAATTTACTTTATATTAATATTGCTCTTTGCTGCTTACAGCAATTTTGTGAAACCAAAACTAATGCTTAACCCTAGAATTCAGGAAGCAGAAGCAGGCAGAAGCAAGTAGATCTCCATAAGTTTGAGGCCAGCCTGGTCTACATAGCAAGGTCCAGGACTTCCAGGACTACACAGAAAGACCTTGTCTCAAAAAAAAAAATTACAACAACAAAAAACCCCCATTACAACTGGTTGCCTAATGGATAGTGTGGGTGCCATAGCCAGAAGACATGTCATTTAAAAGGTCACATGGCACAATGGCAGTGTATTTTGCATAAGGATAAATGCTGGAAAAGAATCAGATCCAATTCTGTGCTCAGACACAGCGCTTTTCTGTGTTACCAACTGCATTTATGCCTCGCCCCAGAAGCCAAAGAAATCTTGTTGAAAATGCAATCTTGTAGCATTTTCTGCCTTAAGATATTTCCTATCTAGGGCAGTTTTTTCTAGGTGGCAATTGGGAAGTCCAGAAAAATACAGAAGTCAACCCCCACACATACACCAAAAATAAAATGTTGAAAATCGCTGTCACATATCTTGACTAAAAACTAACAATGTGGCAAAATATTCTAAATTCAGACAATGATCATCTGACCATCACGAATGTCTAAGGCAGAAAAGTTGGAAGAGAATATTCCAAGTGTGATTATCTTAAATGCCTTAGGTAGAGTTCAGTTAATGAATAAATGAACTCCTTGTGGCCTTCTAGTAAAATAATACAAAACAT